CCCCCCCCCCCCCCCCCCCCTCTCCCAACAACCAAGAAAGGAACTATAGTTGGAATACAAGACTATATTCTGTTGACCGATACATAGAAGCTATTTCCCAGACTCTAATGATGCAGTAGCATAATTTAATCATACTTCAACAGCAGCTTTGCAGAACAAAATCATACGCTTCAAAATATCCTGCAAAAGGCAACAAAGAAACAAATATTAATAACCTAAAGATCGTTGAGAAGGGATATCGAAGATGCCTAATATGTTGATGTCAACAATTATATATACCAAATGAGAACTTAAGGCTTGTTTATCAAAGATTATTTTTAAATTATTTTCAAACACACAATTCTATAGGACCCACAACTTTTCCCCACTTTTTAAGCATACATTCTCCAAAAAAAATATTTTTCCCTAGGAAAAATCTGTACCAAACAAGCTTTTAATAGCAGAAAGGCATAATGAATCATATTGAGGCTCAATTCATCAGAACTCGCAATTAATTTAGCAGCATAGATGATCACTCTCTTGAAAGCTACACAAACAGTTTGTGTTAACCAAAAGCACCAAACTCCTATTTATACAAAAAAGTGTCAGAAAACTGCATTAAGGAATAAAAATGCACACACAAGGGCATCTCTACCAAGCAATAAGATTATGGTTCTTCCATTGTAGGAATAAACACTTACATAAAGCTGAGACCATATGAAATATCTTACCATACGGTTCCCTCCATATATATCATTTTCTCTATGACGAAACACGGGACTATCCATGAAAACAAAATCCACACCATCAATGTAGGTTTGGAAGTACGTCACCTCCATATCCTGAAAAATATACCAACATGTTATAAACCTATATAAAAAAAAATCTAAATAATGTTGTCTATGCTTACCTGGCCATCTACTTTATATGTTTTCCGAACTCCTGAATATTGAGGTTCAGCATAGTTACCGTAGCGAGGTGCAACGACCTATCAGTTGTTGGAAACAATAAATTTAACTTAATATGATTAATAAAATTCAGAAACTGAGAATTTTGTAGCTTCAGTAAATGTTAATTATGTTAACACCACTAATATTTAAAGACCAAACTATATATGCAATTCCTTAAATCAATAAAATTGGTCACTATGATGAAAAGGGTTGGTTCTCTGTTGAAAATAACATCAGTAGATGCATCAAATTTTGCAAGCCATATTCTTAAACAAAAGTAAATCAAACTTTACCATGACTCTGTGTCCACGTCGAGCCAAAGCCTTGGGTAAAGCTCCAGCAACATCTCCAAGCCCACCTAACATTATTTTCATACTTGTTAGTGCACATGGACCACGGCACAGTCATGTTTGTGTACATGGACCATAACCTAAGAGTCCACATGAAAAAACCAGAAAACAACCAAAAGCCTATTTTTATTGTCAACATACATTATACCAACAACAAAGAACCCTGGAATCCCAACCATTTGTGGCCTTCTTACCTAATCCATTCCTGAGTATTGGTATTCCTATTTGATATTTTGCATTCTTTGGCTGCGGTATTTGCAAGGGAAAAATTCTTGAGCACAGTCCAACAGTCTTTTAGCTTATTCCCCAGAAAATTTTTAAAAGAACAGGCAATCATTAGAACAGTCAGCACTTTGGGTTAAAAAGAATCCAGTTAGGCAACTTTGTACAAGCATCCGCTACCTACCTGTTTGCTTGTATTTCAAATCTCTTCTTTAGCGACACCATTGCCTTTAATAATTTAATATTAAAAATAGACACATGCTTTCCATTAGCAAGCATATTAATAAATTAGATCACAACAACTGTTATTCACTTATTTACATCTGACTTGAACAGTATCTGCTACATAATTATAATCGGATATGAACAATAACTGCTGCATGCAAAGGAAATGGAATTGGGAAACCTGTTCCCTTTTAGAAAATTCCATTGTTGTCAACATACCTGTTTTAGACCAAGGAGCACATTCTGCAGCAACCAAAATTATGTTCATGACATTGGGACCGGCCAGTGGAGGGGGTTTCACATCTTCGCCTGTGGGATCTTGGACTTTAACCTTCATGTCCTCTAGATTTGATTCTTCTGCATCTTTACTTTTATCATATTTCAGGCTCGATGGTGCATCAGATAAAATGGTTGTCCCCACATTAGCATCCTTCAACTCGTCTGAATCTACTTTGGTGGAGGTCTCAGTGGCTTTCTTCAACCACTTGTAAGAATCCTTATTTGAAAAAGGCTCTGGACTGGGCGTGACAGCCGATCTCAGAGGAACTGATGGCACTTCCTGAGACTGAACTGACTCTGAAATAGTGGCTTTCAACTGTGGTTTGTCATTATGACGCAGGTCTTTTCCAGGTTCTGTCATATTGGCAAATGAATATTCACTGGAAGCTGAAGCTGTGTTTTCATTCACATCATGAACAGCTGAGTCAGAGTGGATGCCGCTAGTGGAGAATCTTTCATTATCAAGGTCTTCACTGATCTTGTCACCTTCAGCTGTTGCAATACCAATACTTGAAAAACTTCCACTGCGCTCCTCATAAGGCAATTCATCGCTTTCTGGATCAATAATACTACTTTTTATTGATGAGACTAATTTTTTCCTTTCTGCAATCTGCAAAGTGGAGTCCAAAACCAGATTGGTTTCTTTTTCTGGATCAAAATGGAACAAAGTATAAAAATTGACTACACCACCTCTGCAAGTGCTATAAATATTTCCTCTTACTTAAAAATTGAATGTTTGTACTCGATCAGCTTTAATAACGATGAAATCAGTTCAATGTTAACTATCTTATACTTCTAAACCAGATTCAAATCATTAAAAAATTTAAAGGAAAATGTAGGAGAAATAAAAATGATTTTAAATTTCCAGAGCTTTCAATACTTTTGGAACTACTGATCAAAATAAGACTTTTCATATCTTGGAAATATATGACTTGCTAACACTGTAATAGTTTCTAACGTTAAGATTAACACGAGTACATACATATAGCAGCGATGAGATGAATAAGTGCTAAGTTAGGGAAAAGAAAACCCTGCTACATACAAGAAAAAGAGATCGGTGAATTCAAGAAACCTGTTTTAATAAGTCTTTTTGCACGGCCAGAACCTTCTTGCTCTTTTCAATTGTGGCCTGTAAAGCATCATCTTGTTCATCACCACTCTCAGCTTCCTCTGATCCCTTCCCAGTCGCTTGTACGANCTTGGACATAGAGGCTGGATCGTTATAAAAAAATCCGCGATTTTTGTAATGACCAACTTTTATGCCAAAGTCGTTAATTTATGTATTGTCTGCTGTGGGAGAGACTAAACCCTCACGGATTTCTATCGCGTCTCTAAGATTCGAACCTTTAATCTTTCTCTTAAAAATGACTTAAATTGAATCCAGGTACAATGCCGTTAACTTACGTACTGTCCGCTATGGAAGAGTCTAAGCACATCTTATTCTTCACGGATTTCTATCAAATTCCATGATTTGAATCGACCTTTTTCTTAAGAACGACTTAAGTTGAATCCTGGTACTTCAACTTAAGTCATTCTTAAGAGAAAGGTCAAGGGTTCGAATATTGGAGAAGCGATAGAAATTCGTGAGGGGTAAGATGAACTTAAGCTCCCCCATAACGGACAATACGTAAATTAACGACTTGACATAGAAGTTGGGTTGTTACAATACCAGTATCTTCTGTATTTTCGTCCTTCTGTATTTTACACCCTTGAGCAAAGTTAAATAATTTAATCTCTTCCCTCCCTCTTCCCTCAGCTCGGGGGGCACCGAGATATTTTTCTTTCTTGTTCACCTATTCCTAGTATCTTTTTATCTTGAGTGGGCTAACACATCTTGAAGCCTCCAGCAAAAAAAAAAAAAAATTATAAGCATCGTAGTTAATAATATTAACATATTGAAAGATAAAAGATGACCAAACTTCACCTCAGATACAGACAAGAAACGATCCCTCTCAGTATACTGCTGCACTTTCTCAAGAGATTGGCCCGTAAAGGCAGCATACATTTTGTCAATTTTCTGCAGCAAATAATGACAAGGGTAAAGTTAAACTAAATGATATAACACATGTTTAGCAATGCCAAATTCATTGGAAACAAGGCTTAGTTTGTTGCAAACATTTTATAGCCGTTTCTAATTCGAAAAATATACATTGAGAGCTTTTCTATTCTATATAAACACAGAATGTATAATGAGAAGTTTTCTTCTGAAGTATATTAGCCAAGCCAAAAACATTTCCAGGAATATTAGAGGTTATGCTCCAATTAGAAACTTGACCATACAGCTCTACATAGGTCAGCCGAAAAAAAGCACGTGTTAAATGTATTGAGTTCAGCTGAATGCCGACCTAAAATAACTGATGTCTAATTTTCTATGATACTTATCCTGAGATTAGTAGAGTATGTTAACTATAAAAGAAACAGAAACCGACATGGCGAGATTGAACTGCTTCATTCACTTGGCGCCTTACGTCTTCAACATGCCCCTACAAGCAGAATAAGCACAATGAGACCCAACATTAACAAATAAAACTACATTTCCTGAATGTAAAGATAATACTGTAGTCTGTCAACATGTGTTTAATGCAAATCATCCCATGTATAAAAATATTTAACTGAGGGTAGTACAGCTTCTAATCACTACATAACTAGAAATGGAGAACAAAATCTGAAAATAAACTGCAGTTATGAATAGCGAAAACCACATCAAAATAGTAGAAAAGTAGAGCTATTACAATCATCATGATTACATAATCCAAACCTGAAGATTTTATCCTGTCTAAAAGTTCTGAGATCAGACAACCAATCTCATCTGAGGTATAGGTAAAGGAGCAATAACTGAACACATCTTCAGAAGCATCATCTCTTCCCACATGTTATTTGAAAGTCAGGGACATTCAAATTATTATCAGAAAACTTCCCTCCAACCTCTCTCCCCAACACACTAGATTAAGCTAGTAGAAACGCAATGTGCAGAAATGTTCCAGAAGACTAGCAATTCTTTCATTCCAGACAGAAGAAAGCACAACAGCATGCTGCTATATTTAAAAGATTCTAGTTTGTATAGATCATTTTTTCAAACAGGACTGGATTAACAAACCAACAGCTTTACTCAACTTCAGACAAAATCTGAAATCTGCCCAATCCTGTGATTTTTAATCTTTCTTCATTAGCAAAATCATTAAAAATGCATGAAATCTGTAAATCATGGACAAACTACTCTCTCTCACACGCGCGCGCAACACTAATTAAACTACTGATGATAAAGCAAGAGTCCCCTTATATGCAGAATTCAGTATCCCGAAATATGATCCCAGCATAAGCAGCTAATGTAAGGAAGTTGGAATGCCATACAAAGAATTCATTGTTCAGATAGAATGATGGCTCTATCCAAATAGACAGTTCATACCCCACATCCACTTTGAGGTTGATGTATCATAATACGGGCATTTGGCATGGAATACCGCATTCCCTTTTCTCCACCGGCAAGAAGAAGTGCCCCCTGGCTTGCAGCTACTCCAAAACATACAGTACCAACCTTGGGCTTTATCTGAGAAGTGGTTATTGAAAAAACATAAATTAGATACCGACTTCATAGCAATGGAAAAAACATGTTTATTTCTTCAATTGGAAATTCATTGCATAATTAACATGCCAAGGCACCAACATCAGAAGGTGAATGCCGCAAAAACCAAATCAAAGAAAAGCATAAAATAAGTTACAATCTTACCCAGGACATGCAATCATATATTGCCAAGACAGAGTAGGTGCTCCCACCAGGGCAGTTGAGATAAATCTAACAAGGTCAGACACAAGACAACAAATGTGAACTTGATTGCAGTAGACAGGGTCTCAACTCTTATCTTTGTAACCAAACAATGCGGGACTAAGATGAAAACATGTACTCACCAAAATATCTGCATTTTCATCAATTGTTGCCAGAGTCACAAGCTGTGATATAACTCGCTGAGCCACCTGTGAGTTAATTGGCTGCCCAATAAAGATTATGCGATTTCTGAACAAAACTGTAGAAAGATCTAAAGGCCCTCCTGGAGTCAAGACAGCTGGCATGATAGGTGGGTTTCCCTTTTTGGCTTCTATCACCCCATAACTGATAAATGAAAGAAAAATTACAAACTTGTAGCTCTAGCTAAGGGCTGCCGTGAGGTTGGGAATTCAATAAATACGAAGTCAACAAGAGTGACCCAATCAGGTATAAAATGGAATTATAGACCATAAATATTTTGTAGCCAGAATACTCCAGTTATCCATTACATCTATAAAAGGTATCTAATGGCTTATGATGAAATCACAAGCCTTCACCGTTTAAATACCTCTGCCAACGTAGTTATGTTTCCGTGCTACACGTATACCCAAAAGTAAGATGACACTACTAATCTTGTGGTTGTAACCAATTCCCGTCTTGTACATAAGCATACAGTTATTATTCGTGATAAAATCTCTAAGTTCCCTTTCCATTCTTTTTATAGCCTCCAATATAGTCAAGCTTGTGGTTAAGCCTTAACACGTGGCAGTGGTGCCACAGCCCTAACAAATTGTCAAATGCTAGGAAAAATGTCTACCACCCTCTTGAAGCACGATGAAGTATTAAGCAAGATCGTCCAATGATTCATGTCGACTGATGCATTTTTAATCACAACCCCCTTAATACGATAGCTATGTCTACAATTCCATTCAGATAAGTCTACAAAGTCAATCACAAGTTGTTTAGGTTCGCAGGTGCAAGTGTTATCTAACACATCACAAGGATAGAAGAGTGAACCTCTGATCAGGAATAGAGCGAAAATCTTGCTGGTCAAGCTTCAATGGCAATCTGTGTGTTTTATTGTATAATCCTGGTAAATGTCACATAATATCTTGAGCCAAATTATTATTGCTCATCATAAATCAACATATAATTTCACAGATAGCAATCAACATGTCTAAAATGAAAATATACTGAAAGTATCAGAATCCATCATTGGTAGAAAGTAAAGCATGCAAAATTAGATAAAGAAGAAAATTTCATATCAGCTTTTTAATGACTCATTTTCAGCTTAATTTTACATTATTCTAGCTGATGAAAGCCATAGCTGAAAAAGATCAAAAGCTTTTTAATAGCACATTTTCAGCTTAAAAAATAATTATTTTAGATGGAGATAGCCAAAAAATAAACATTTTTTCTAAGCTTACATGTAACTCCCCCCCTCCCAAAAAAAAAAAAAAAANCAACATAATATTTACTTATATTAAACTTCTTTATATAAATAAATTGTTTGAGCTCAATCAAACATCCACCAAATCCAGTTTACATTTAACTGTTAAGCGTACCAATTGTAGAAGAATCGCCATAAGGACTAGACAGAGCGGAAATTATAGGTCTCGTTAATCTTAAGTTTCTGCAAAAGAAAAAGTTAAACTAGTTAACATCGAGTAAAAAAAGTACAAAAAAAAAAATTAGAAGCAAACAACAAAAGTATAAATTTATGCAAAATCATTGTACCTTTGGGACAACAATGTTGAAGATGAAGGTTTATTATAAGTTGAAGCGATTGATAAATTTAAAGGAGTTGCCATTGTTGACGTCACCATGTCGCAGAAGGTCGAGATTGGGGTTTTCTGAGGGGATAAAATGACTCGAATAGCTAAGAAAATACTATTTCGGCTTTTGGAGTCGACCCGTTTTGTTTATTACGAAAACAGAGCGCGTATCAATCAATGCGATTTTAGTTGAAATTGGACCGCATTGTAATGTTGGAATTGGATTGGGAAAATTGACACAGATAGCGCTTAGTACTTGTTTGGAAGTGATTAAAATCAGATTAAAATTGAAAATATAGTTGTTGGAGTTGACTTTTATTAGACGAATAGGACCCAATAACGACTATATTTTCAATTTTAATTGAATTTTAATCCTTCCCAAATAAACTCTTAAAATGGAGAGAAAAAAAGTCAATTGACGTGGGACTTTATTTATTTATTTTTATTTTTTAATCTTTCAACTAGAATCGAGTCTCGAGATTACAAGCTTATTAGAGGAGTGTTTATATAATTTATTTCTGAAGGTAGGCTAAATTTTCGGACCAAAAGTCATTTAAGCAACAAGGCAATGGTTGGAAGTTCGAATTTTAATTTTTAGTTTTAAATTTAAGTACATTGATCCATATTGATAAAGGTATCACCGAAAAATAATACTCAGGAACAAAAACTAGTGTTCAATATGCTCATGGCGATTTCGGAACGTCCCGCATATAGGGCATGCACTTGATAATACGATCAATCCATTTTGTTACACATATGCACGCTTAAACGCCAAAATACATATACATTTTTGTTACAGATTATGTCCAAATTTACCTAGCAAAGTCCAGCCCATTTTTATAATTTAAAAAAGGGAAAATTTCATATCTAAGAAATTCAGTATGACTTATTTTAAAATTAATAAACAAAGTTTAAAATTTCAAAAATCATATATTAATTAAATTTTATTTATGAAATAAGTAATTAAAAATATATTAATGTCACAATTCTATACTATTTGATCACAAATTATTTCTTGATCACGAATAAAAAATTTTATAGGTCAAAAATTATTTCTCGATCATGAATGAAAAATTTTATAGGTCACAATTTATTCACCGTTCAAAAATTTTAAAAATGATAGGTTACAATTTATTTATCGATCATAAATCACAAATTTTATAAGCAGTGACTCAAATTTTTAAATCATATATTATTTATTGGATACAAGTTATCGGTTACATATTATTTATTGATCACAAAATATTTAATTTATTGGTCATAATCTCAAATAATTGGTCACAAACACTCTTAATTCCACCACGTACCCAACCCAACTCAACCCAACCCAACCCAACATGGCACCAACCGAAAGCAGCGCCATCTCACCATCACCAACGCCGCCTCCAACAAACTACCATTTTCAACTTCAAAACCACCACCACCTCACCACCACAACCACCAACAAACCACCATTTCAATTATAAAATTATCACTGCCAGATCCACTACCACTAGATCCATCGCTAGATCCAACAAAACCACCCCAATCGTCGATCCACCACCACCGCTACCAACAAAAACCATAGCCACAACCAAATCCAACAAAACCACCTTCGCCGCCGATCCAACAAAGCAACAGCTACCTAAACACCACCAACAAATTAAATCCAAAATCGCCGGCATCACCACAACCACAACGCCAACACCAGAACCAGAACGCCACGCAATGAGGATGAAAGCTAGCAAATAAGATCTAGAACCAGAAGAAAGTAGGTGGGATGATAGGCTCTTGCTATTGTTGTTGCTGGGGCGCTCGACGAGGATGAACATTGATGTTGTTGTCGGAGCGTGACACTTGCTATTGTCTCCGAAGCACCTCGTCTAGCAGCGTTGTCCCATCAGTGGTTTTTGACGACGACTAGAGAAAGGAGAGAAGGTGGGATAGAGAGAAAAGAAAGGAAATAGAGAGGATGAAAATGATTAGGGTTTTGGTGTGGGTGGTTGGGTATAAGTTAGGTGGGATGAATACGTTTATTTAATTTTGTAATATAATTAGAATTTTAATTACCATCTGATTTTTGAAAAAAAAAAAACTTGTAGATCTTAATTTTGAAACGGGAAGTTAACTCTGGTAAGCTGTAATTTCTATATTGTTTGGAAGGAATTAAAATCAGATTAAAATTGAAAATATAGCTGTTGGAGTTGACTTTTATTAGACGAGTGGGACCCAATAACGGCTATATTTTCAATTTTAATTGAATTTTAATCCTTTCCAAATAAACTCTTAAAATGGAGAAAAAAAAAAAGTCAATTGACGTGGGACTTTATTTATTTATTTTTATTTTTTAATCTTTCAACTAGAATCGAGTCTCGAGATTACAAGCTTATTTGAGGAGTGTTTATATAATTTATTTCTGAAGGTAGGCTAAATTTTCGGACCAAAAGTCATTTAAGCAACAAGGCAATGGTTGGAAGTTAAATTTTAATTTTTAGTTTTAAATTTAAGTACATTGATCTATATTGATAAAGGTATCTCTGAAAAATAAAACTCGGGAACAAAAACTAGTGTTCAACATGCTCATGGCGATTTCGGAACGTCCCGCATATAGGGTATGCGCTTGATAATACGATCAATCCATTTTGTTGCACATATGCACGCTTAAACGCCTAAATACATATACATTTTTGTTACAGATTATGTCCAAATTTACCTAGCAAAGTCCAGCCCATTTTTATAATTTAAAAAAGGGAAAATTTCATATCTAAGAAATTCAGTATGACTCATTTTAAAATTAATAAATAAAGTTTAAAATTTCAAAAATCATATATTAATTAAATTTTATTTATAAAATAAGTAATTAAAAATATATTAATGTCACAATTCTATACTATTTCTCGATCATGAATGAAAAATTTTATAGGTCACAATTTATTCACCGTTCAAAAATTTTAAAAATGATAGGTTACAATTTATTTATCGATCATAAATCACAAATTTTATAAGCCGTGACTCAAATTTTTAAATCATATATTATTTATTGGATACAAGTTATCGGTTACATATTATTTATTGATCACAAAATATTTAATTTATTGGTCACAATCTCAAATAATTGGTCACAAACACTCTTAATTCCACCACATACCCAACCCAACCCCAATCCACCATGGCACCAACCGAAAGCAGCGCCATCTCACCATCACCAATGCCGCCTCCAACAAACTACCATTTTCAACTTTAAAACCACCACCACAACCTCCAACAAACCACCATTTCAATTATAAAATTATCACTGCCCGATCCACTACCACTAGATCCATCGCTAGATCCAACAAAACCACCCCAATCGTCGATCCACTACCACCGCTACCAACAAAAACCATAGCCACAACCAAATCCAACAAAACCACCTCCGCCACCGATCCAACAAAGCAACAGCTATCTAAACACCACAAACAAATTAGATCCAAAATAGCTGGCATCACCACAACCACAACGCCAACACTAGAACCAGAACGCCACGCAACGAGGATGAAAGCTAGCAAATAAGATCTAGAACTAGAGAAAGTAGGTGGGATGATAGGCTCTTGCTATTGTTGTTTCTGGGGCGCTCTACGAGGATGAACATTGTTGTTGTTGTCGGAGTGTGACATTTGCTATTGTCTCCGAAGCACCTCGTCTAGCAGCGTTGTCCCATTGGTGGTTTTCGACGATGACTAAAGAAAGGAGAGAAGGTGGGATAGAGAGAAAAGAAAGGAAATAGAGAGGATGAAAATGATTATGGTTTTGGTGTGGGTGGTTGGGTATAAGTTAGGTGGGATGAATACGTTTATTTAATTTTGTAATATAATTAGAATTTTAACGGGAAGTTTAAAACTCTGGTAAGCTGTAATTTCTATTTAAAAAAAAAAAAAGCAAATTGAGCTTAACAAATATCAAATTAGCCCAAATCACCCAGCTAATTAATTATACACAGCAATATGTAGGGTTTTTAGGGCTACACAAAAAAAAATCGTGTAACTACAAATTAAATTGAATCCGTTGATTTGAAACTTTTGGTTGGGATCCATGTGGATCCACTATTTTTTTTCCCTTTCAAATAAAACCAAACTGTTACAAAATGGTTTGGTTTAGATTTCGATTCTAAAAAAATTGCACAAAATCGAACCAAACTATTTCAAAAATGGTTCAATTTTTGTCTATGAAACTTGCTGTTGTTAGTTAAAAAATTGATTACAACCTCGATTCCCTTTTGGCTGCTGAAGTAAGCATTATTTCATCTACCTATGCATTTTGTGAAATAATACTAATCATGCAATCTTTGTGATATCTGCTATGTATTTTACCCAAGAAAAGAGAATAACTACCGCATCATAAGTGTCATTTTTGATATTAGTTGAACAAATTAAATGTAAATTCATGAGTCATGACCTTCACATTGTTAAAATTGGCACCACGATGTTTTACCAATTTCGAGCATTTGTTTCTCTTCTAAAAATTGTCTTTTTAGGTCTTTTTTGGTTGAGAGTATGGTGGTCTATGGAGTGTGGAAACATGCAATCTATAGTTGTGAAGAATGATTTCGATGGAGAAAATATGCAATCGTTAGGTAAACCACGAATTAAAATCGAACCAAATTGCAAATAATGGTTTGTTTTTAAAAAAATTCAAACTGCGTAAAATGGTTTGAGTTGAAAATATGTCACAAACCTCCCAAACCGAACCGCGTACACCCCTAAGGGTTTTGATGTTTAGAAAAACTAAAAAATAAAAATAAATTTTTCGTAGAGTTGTAAAGTATCTACATTGAGCCCGAGCCTCATTTTTTTCTGTTTTTCTCTAGCTTCAGTATTGAGATCTTCATCAAATTGCAGAGGCATGAGGGTGCATTTTTCATTTTTGTACTGTTCACTTAATTAGAACTTTGAAGGTACTTAATATCTACATGAAAGATGACTTGGATGAAGAAGTGGAGATTTAATTGGAATACGATAAAGAGTTAGACAAGATTTATGATTTTTTTAAGCTGGTGTTCTTGTCTAATCTAATTGTAAGAATTGATTACCAAG